CAGGGCGGGTGCTGTCATCCTCGTCATTCCTATCAGCAGACAGAGGCTCGTTGGGGCGAAATGTCTCACCATGGTTAGTGGTGAAGCTTGAATCAGAACACAAGCCCATTTCGCTTCAAAGCTGATGCTCCTTCCACTCCAGTCTACTACAGGAAGGAGGGAATCACCTGAGCCCCAATGCCACCACGTTCTTTCCAAGTCACAGCAAAAATAGCTCTGCCTTCTTTGGGGCCAGTCATTGTTCGGGAGAACAATGCCCTCCTGGGGACCATGGCTGAGCCTATGTCACGGTGGTTGGGCAAGCTGCTCAAGGGAACTCCCACGAGGGGCACAAGGGACTGCTAAACCTCACCCTTTCGGCTCCTTTGTTCCCTCTGCTGATGCTGTTCTCCTTCTCCTGAGGTTCTCTTTTCTTTCACCATTACACATGAAAGCATCGCTCATCCTTTAGAGTCTGGCCACGGACCCTGGTCACTCCCAAACTCACCCCACTTTCTCCCCATCCTCAGCTCCAGGCATGCTTATCACCTGCACACTGCGGCTCACTTGGGAGACAGGCCCACTTGGGGGTGAATCTGGCTCTCTTCCTTACTAGCTGTGTGTCCTGGGTGAATTCCGCAACCTCTCTGGGCCTTTGTTTTCTCGTCTATGAATTAGGATAAAAATACCTACGTCACAGGGCCATTGTGAGAGGCAGACTAAGTGAGTTAACCTATTTACTGCACTTAGCACCGTGCCTGGTATATAGTAGACATTCAATACATAGTGGTTTTTACGTTGATGTTTTTCAGTCTATGTTTGGCGCCTTTCCAATGAGACTGAGAGCTTCTTGGGGGCAAGGACCATGACTCATTTCAATTTGTGATGGCAGAGCACAATTTTGGGGCTGTAGAAAACACTGTATTTGTCAGTGCCTAAGTGTCCACATATTTGAGGCATGAAATACAAGCTCAAGTAACAGCCTCTGCTATTGGATTTTATCAGAAACTATTGAGTAGCGGGTGTCTGGGTGGCTCAGTCTCTTAAGCATCTTGATTTTGGCTCAGGTCATGATCTCAGGGTCCTGAGATCGAGCCCCACGTTGGGCTCCATGCTGAGCATGGAGCCTGCTTAAGATACTCTTTTTTTCTCCCTCTGCCCGTCCCCACTCCCGCGGGTGTGTGCTCTCTCTCTCTCTCAAAGCAAACAAACAAACATCACCTCGGAGCCCACACTTCCATTAATCCATTCATTTATTCACCGCTGACTGATTGCTTCCTAAATGCATCCCCTCAAGCTTCTGTTTCTACATGGTTTCTTTAGTAGAAAGAGCTATAGGCTGGTGATGGAAGGTACTAGAGTGCAGGGGAATGTGGAAGGAGCAATAGATTGCTGAAAATACAGGTCTGCAGACCTCAGACTTCCCTATGCATCAGAAACAGCTTGGGTGGATATAGAATTTTGGCTCCCATCCCCCAGAAGTTCTAATTTAATTGCTCTAGGGTGATTTTAAAACAACAAACAAGCAAATGGAAAAAAGAAAAATAAGAAACTCCCCAGGTGATGGTTCTGGTGTGCAGCCAGGGATAAGAACCCCGGGAGAAGATGATGCACAAATACCCCAGGGGACTTTTTTCTTTAGGCAATGCTAAGGGGAGGGACCGCGTGCTAGGCTAAAGTAGGGAGCAGAGCCCTGAGCAGGAGGCAGGAGGAGGCACCAGCTCGGAGACTGAGCAAGTGTGGGTTCACATTGGCACCTCGCCTTCCTCCTCCCCAAGAGGAGCCAGGAAAGTATCTAGGCTAAGAGTCCCCAGGGGAGAGGGGCTAAGGATACCAGAGGGCATGAAAATGCAGAGCTGTGTAGAGCTGAGGAAATAAATCATTTCCAGAATGAATCCCACAATTGCCCTACTTAGATGGAGCTGGAAATCACAACTTGATGATAACATTGGGGCACCAGACCTCACAGTCGTGGCCATTTTGTGAATATGCTTCTAACCTTGCAAAGGCATGCGAGCTCATTTGCTCCTCTTCACCGCAAAGCCCCCCCCCCCGCCCCGCCCCCCACCTTGCCAATAAAGTCTGGGCAGGTCAGGCCTGATGGAGGGTTTCCAGGAGAGCAGTTGATTTGGAGCACTGGTGGTACCTAAGATCCAGGAGAACAGTTCCCTGGTCTGTTTCAGGCCAGGTTCACAATGGCGGTCCTGACGCATAATCACTGTGCAAGGGAATGTCATTATAAGACTGCTTCAAGGAAGCCAGACCCCCACCCTGCAAATGCAGTGCTGCTGGGAATCCTGAGGACTTATTCCTGGCATTTGATGTCGGGACGCTTGATTTCCCTCTCCCTGTCTTCTAACTTCACAGACAGGAAAATAGAGCCAGAGAAGATCCGGAAGTTGCTCATCACCCCGGGGTTTGTACTGTGCATGAGATCATATTTCCCAGCTTTTTCTAAGACAGAGCTGGCTCATTCATGCTGGTGAGTTTTAGTAGAGAATATCCACGATTTAAAATTTACAAAAAGAAAGAAATTGAGAACGACATCAGATAATTTTCTTTCTTCTCTGCCTGTTTGTCTCTGTGTTTCTTGGCAGTTGTCTGCCATTTAATCCAGGAATGCAGAGTGAATATGAACTTCAAAGGGATTTACAATTAAAGGGACCCTCCTGAAGATATATTGCCTTGAATCTGGGGTTCTACTCCCTGCCTTTAATTGGGTGAATTTGGATTTTTTTTTCACCATTAGCCAAGTTAAACAGCCTCCATTGGCTCCTCATGGATGAGAATAGCTGTGAGCTGAGGGTTAATGAAAGATTACTGATATAGATAAAGGCAGTTTGTCTTCAGGTATCTCCCAAAATGTAGGAACCCCAAAAGCTGCACTGATCTCAGTTGGTGTCACTGTTCTGATTGGCCAGGCCAAAGGTATGACAAAACAAACTGGTTGTCAAATATTTTTAATATTACCTTTCCATCAACATGGTAGCATTCTTCTTTCAAGTGGAGAACCCACCCTTACCCTTACTGTGGAAGCAATGACTGGGTCCCTGTTCTCATTTTCCTGCATCCAGAGAACATTCCCTTCCCCACAGTGGGGTTCCCGCTACATCTCTATTGACTTGTGAGTTTGTTGTCACTAAGCAGGTCAACAGAGAGAAGAGTGTTAATTTCATCAAGAACTGTCCCTAGGGAAGCTGCAGGAAGATGGAGACAGTGGGCAGTATTGGCCATTGGCCTAGATACCAAAAGGACCAGACATGGCCATTTGGGGACATTATAATTCTTGCTAATTCTGACCCCAAGGCCACCACGGGGAAATGGTGGAAAGGATATAGAGTTAGCTCTAGTCCCTCTAACACCTGGGTCCCTCCCTGGCTGTCACAGGTCAAGGGAGGCTCATTAACCATTCAGTTACTATATCTCATCCCCTAGATTAACTGCCTCTATCTGGAAGCAGCTAGTCGAGTGCACTAAGGTGGGGTCTGAAAAGGTTAAATTCTCTCCTAAGTACCCAGTTCATCCCAAGAGCAGTTGTTATCACCAGGCTCAGTCTGCTCAATATCTACAAAAGCCTGTTCCCTTTGAACAAAGAATCGGTTGCTACGATTGCCCTACAGCAGATGCATCTGGTTGGGATATCTATTCTCGTAACCCAAATTGCAAAGCATTTTCCAAAAGCCATTGAGTTGCAGAATTTTAAAAATGTATTTTGATTGCCAGATCTGCAAATTGGGTCAGTTTTCCAGGGCCTTATGCTTCCCTTTTTTTCCACTGGGGAAGAGAAAAAGAAGGCAGCCAGCAGCTGGTGATTGGAACACAATTCTCCCTGGCATGTAAGTCTTGGCTACCATCTGTGTGTTATCCTGGCCACGGTCCCCTGGCATTCGCTGCAACGCCTGGGCCGAGGCCTGCCCTTCCTGATGGCTGCCCTCTGGATTCCACTAACAACCAGCATGAAACACTGCAGCTTGCCCCCCTGTGGCTCTTCATGGTTTTTAATCATCTGAGCTTCAGGAAAGTCTGTGAGAAAATAAGAGAAGGTACAACTATCCCCGTTTCTCAGATGGGGAATATTGGGCTCAGCGAAGATACGTGATTTACCCAAGGATACACAGCTTATGGTGATCTTGGATCTTAATCTGTATCTTCTGCCTCTTGATCTACTACTCTTTTCACGAAAACTCACGGCCGTAAAAAAGTCAGTGGGAAAGGAATCTGTACGAAGTGGTTTGTCTGGGTCCTCAGACCCGAGTGGATTGGAATGATGCAATCTGATACTCGACTTTTTAAAAGCAGCAATGATTAATCGAGTCACCAAAAAACTTCATCTTAATCACCCAGCATTATACAGAGGTAGCTATCAAAAATCAGTGCATAAGATGGGACACATTATATGAATATTCCATGTTATGCACCCTATTACTATAAAAGACTATAAAATACAACATATTTTTATGACTAAGTCCAGGATTTTTCATACTTAATGAGTCATAGCCCATTAATATGCATCATAAAGTCAATTTTAATGGGTTGTTACCAGAATTAGAAACAAAAATAGGGTAAGATAGGATAGGATCGAATTGAAAAAATCAGAATGTGATGTATGTAGCAAAGGTAAGTATTGTCCTCTGAATCCTTCTGTTTATTTATTATGTGTACTGGATCACGATGTTTGAAGTATTTCTTGCTCAGTGGTCTTTCTCTTTTTCCTGCTCTGCCCCCTCCCCTCTTTCTCCTTTCTCTTTCGTTCCCTCTCTACTTCTCTAAGTATATAGGAAAGGTAGCCAAATATCTGCTACCTTTGTCCTCCGTACAGGGCCGTCCCCAACCCCCATCCTTCCCAACCTGATCATTTACTCAGCCCCAGGTCTGGAGCAGAGACTGTTCTCTACAGTTGATACCTTCATGCTCCTTCCGTTCTCCTCTTTTTGTCGTGTGACCTTCGAAACGAGGTTTGCTAGTTCTCTCTATGTTTGATAAACAGATTCTATCTCTAAACTATCATATTTACATTTCAGGCAAAGCAACTCAATCCTAAAGAAATGAAATCCCCAAGGAGAACCACATTGTGCTTCATGATTATTGTGATTTATTTTTCCCAAGCTACATTGAACTTGAATTTAGAGTCTATTGTTCATCCCTTGGTGAGTACACCCATGTCTGCTATATTTTTCCTTGTCAAATTTTTCTGATTTCCTGGGAATGTCACAGACATAAATTGCTTAAAAAAATTTTTTTAGGGCCTTTGAGAAAATGTTGCAAATGTGGGGGAGGGGGTGAACATATACGGATATCAGTGTGTCTACCGGGCTACCACTTAGCATACTCTGACATCAGTGGTGCTCAAGGGAACATCCCCCAGCCTCCCACCTTAACTAAATGGCCACCTTTAAGTCTGAAACTCCACTCTGAAGCTGACAACAATGACTAAAAGGCAGATTGTGAGGCCTGGGCAGGACGCGCGTTCTCAAAGGATTCATTTAAACTTGAGCTTCAGGGAGCGCCTGGGTGGCTCAGTGGTTAAGCCTCTGCCTTTGGCTTGGGTCATGATCCCAGAGTCCTGGGATCGAGCCCCGCATCAGGCTCCCTGCTCAGCAGAGAGTTGGCTTCTTCCTCTCCCACTCCCCCTGATTGTGTTCCCTTTCTCGCTGTCTCTCTATCAAATAAATAAATAAATAAATAAATAAAAATAAATAAACTTGAGCATCAGACTAGAACACATTTCAGAAGGTGTGTGTGTGTCACAATCACAGACTGATAGAGTTCAAGGTGCCATAGATGTCATTTAAACTTTTTGCTGACAGATTATAAGATGGTTTTGTTTTGGCTTTGGGAAGTTCATAGAAGATTAGCTTAACGAAAGAGGGTGATAAATACTCCCTTACTCCTTATAAGAATTATTACCTATTCTTTCCTGGGGCCACCCCAGGCACCAGAGACAGGGCATGTTCCTGGTTATGAAATCTTGGGAAACTGATGGAATCCTGTGTCTCCGTTTCTTCACTTGCAGAATGATGATAATAGTGCTGATTTCCTGATTGCTAGGGGAATTAGATCAGTTAATATTTGTGAGACGCCTTAGAATAGTGCCTGGCACACAAGTTTTTTGCTATTATTATTTATTTGTCCCACTGTAATGGCATCTTTTGCTACCAATTTTTAAAAAAGATATCTAAGTGCTATTTTATTCTGTCACTATTATTGGTGCTTTATTGGTACTTTCTGGCATTATAGAATGTCACTTTTTGCTCTGCTTTGTACTTTTTAATTTCAATTCTTTGTCATCTATTCCGAGGATCAATCCTGGTTTTTTTGGTAAGATAGTTATTTATTTATTTACTTATTTAGAGCGCGAGCAGGGGGAGGGACAAAGGGAGAGGGAGAGAGAATCTCAAGCAGACGCTGCACTCAGTCCCGACTCGGGGCTCGATCTCATGACCCTGAGATCATGACCTGAGCAGAGACCAAGAGTCCGACGCTCAATGGACTGAGCCACCCAGACGCCTCCAATTCTGTTTTCATATTTGTGTTTGCCTGATCTTTGTTTGTTGTTTTTTGTTTAGGCTTTAATGTAGCACTTTGTGTTAATGGTTTTCTTATAAACAACATGTGCTTGAAGTTTTTTTTTTCTTTTAAACCAAACCTGAGTAAATCTGACTTTGATTAGGGGAGCATAAATGTATTCACATTTAATGTCATATATAAGAAGCTTGATCTTACTTCCAGGATTTTCTTTTATGACTTCATGCACTTCCTTCCTCTTTTCTGTTTTCGTATCTTTCATTTGACCTCGGTTTTCTTTGTCTTTTTCATTATTTCTCTCATGACTCGGGAGCTATATACCGTGTGTCTCTTCTCCCAAACTCCAGTGTGGGCTTCACCTTGTGTGACCATATGCGGCAGCTTGCTCAGATACATAGGAGAGAAACACACTTCCTGTGAATCCGCAGGGTCAGTGTAGAGCTCTAGTTACTCAGGCCTGTGGGGTGAAAGCTTGAGCATGAGATGATCTCAGCAGTGGGGTCAGCTGTACCTCTGTTCCAGACATGGCTGCAACTGTGCCCTCCCGCTATGCCAGTGTGGTCCTCCCTGTGGTGGCCCTTACAAAGCCCTTCCATCTGCCTGGGGGCAGAGGCTGGTCCAGGGATAAACCAGTGACTTCCCAAAGCTGCTGGTGGAGTTCAGACTCACCACCACAACCCCAAAGGGCCCCACTTTTCCTCTCTAGATCTGCCTTTGAGATACAATATCTTCATACAACCCAAAGACAGAAGACCCCCTCATTAGAGAGATGAACTTGAACCTGCCTCATCAGCTTATCCTGCCCTAAGCTGCTGCTCAGTTCCCAAGGCTGACCTTCTACCGTTTTAAATGCAACGTGTGGTAATGAGCTTTTAAAAACTTGTGGTAAACATGCACACAATTTACCATCTTAACCATTTTTAAGTATAGAGTTCAGTAGTCTTAAATAGATCCACATTACCATACAACCCATCTGCAGAACTTTCTCACCTTGCAAAACTGAAAATCAGGGGCACCTGGGTGGCTCAGTTGGTTTAGCGTCTGCCTTTGGCTCAGGTCATGATCCCAGGGTCCTGGGATCGAGCCCCGCATCAGGCTCTCTGCTCAGCAGTGAACCTGCTTCTCCCTCTCCTCCCTGCTTGTGCCCTCTCTCACTATCCCTGTCGCTATCTCTCTCTCACAAATAAATAAATAAAATCTTTAAAAAAATTCCTGAAAATCAATACCTATTGAACAACAACTTCTCATTTCTCCCTTCCCCCAACTCCTGGCAACCTCTACTCTACTTTCTCTCTATGACTTCGACTACTTTAAGTCCCTCATATAAGTAGAATCATACAGTGTTTGCCCTTACATGACTGATTTCACTTAGCATAATGTCCTAAAAATTTACCTATGTGGTAATAAGCATGAGAATTTCCTTCCTTTCTTAAGTCTGAATAATGATCCATTGTACGTATATCCCACGTTTTGTTTATCCATTATCCATTCATGGACACTTGGGTTGCTTTCTAGACTATTCTGAATAATAATGCAGCTCTGAGCATGCACGCACAAATATAGGGTGACAGGCTTTAAAAGTGTGGTAATGTAGCTTCTCAAACTTCAGTGTGTGCATTAACCCATCTGCACACCATATTAAGATGCAGATTTCAACTCAGGAAGTCTGGGGTGGGGCCTAGATGTGGCCTTTCTGACAGGCTGCCCTTGTTCTTGCTCCAGTGATGGCAAGGCTGTGGACCCTCAACCTCAGCATCATGGCTGAGTCTGAAGCCCGGCTCTGTTAGCTTTGGAAATTTCTTCATCAAGTTTCTTCATCTCCCTGACCCTGTCTCCTCTACATACTGTGAGAATAAATAGTATCTCCTTCACTGGTTTGTCGTGAGGGTTAGACGTTCTCATACACGAACGTACGCACAGTGACTAGCACAGAGCAAGAACTTCATATTTGGGGAGTTACTTTCACTGTGCTACTACAAATAAACCTGGGTTAGTATGCCTTTGTGAGGAGACATCCTGCCGAGAGCTTTGCTGAGACAATTATCTAACCGGAGGCAAAGATGGTAAATCGGGGATTCCAAGAAAAAGAGGAGTGAGTGACAGGGCCTTGGTGAGGAGGAGTGAGATCTGGCAACCTCCGGGGGCCTTCCGTGACCACCTTGCTTGTCATCCTGTTCCCTGGGATTATGTTTTCTACCCATAAAATGCCACCTCTCATTCCTGATGGATTGTCCATGCCCACCTCAGGCCCCCTCTCCACCCCCCATACACAATTATTTGAAAGTCATCATGTCCAAAAGGTGGGGCATTTCCTGGAATTGGTGACCTTGGGTCTTCCAGCTGAGACTTGGCCATAAGGAAATCCCCTTTGGACAGAGGTGGCCATTGTCCTCAGCTACTCATCTGGGTACCTCTACGTGGACAAGTAGAGGGAGGCCCCCTGGAGTTTCTGTTTTCTTGTCTGAAGTACATACTTCATTTGGCAAGACCTATGCTCCCCTGTGAGTTCTCCTCAGCACCCAATGTTTAAGAGAAAAGGCAAGTGCCAGAGTCACAAAGGTCCCTGAACTGAGGTCACATGAGGACTCAGAAGGGCAAGGATGGCCTCTGGTGAGCCCCACGCTGGCTGGACACACACGACTGCCAGAAACTGTCCAAGCCTCTGGTGTGCCTCAGGACATTACCTTCCATAATGTAAGACACTGAGCCTGAGAGTGAGTGAATGACTTTTCCAACTACGAAGCAGAGGAGGTGCTGGGATTTGGGGCTGGGTAAGACTAGCATTTGCCTTGTTGAACTCCAGGCCCCATGACCTGGCAGCCCCTCTTTTTGTACCTTCTCAAATCTGGCAGGGCCAAGGGTATTCACCATCATCACCACCGCCACTAGGGAACTCATCGGAGACTTGATCACTTTCAGTGTTTCTCCTCCATTTTCCCCAAAGGTTGCAGGGCTTAAAATAAACAAATAGGTTATTCTCACAAGAAGATGTGCATCCTTACTGGACAACAGGGGCACTAGGTGATAGAGCTGCAGGAGTGCACTTTGCAGAGATGTCCCCTGACACTGACAGATAATCACCATCAGGATGCAGAAAATAGCTAAAAAGTAGCATTTCTTGAAAGATGGCCTCATGTTCAAAAGGTGGTGAAGAGTGGATGGAGAAGCCTTCCTGGTGGCTCCCCCACTCCCTGCCCCTGGCCCCCAGGGAGGATGGATGCAGGAATGCAGCGGAAGACCCTTTCCTTCTGCCTAGGCACAGAGCCAAAGCAGGCTCCAGGGGAAGCTGGATAGGAACAAGCCCTATGCATTGACTTTGCTCCTTCTTGGTTCCTGTGTATTTAAGTATGGCTAAAATAAGCCCACTGCAAACAAAATAGCATTTGGGCTTCTAAAATTCCAATTGTCATGCATCATTCCTCTCTTTGTTGCTTCAGGAACATTTATGAACTGTCAGGTACACGGCCCCTCTACAGATTCTTATGGATGTAAAAACTGTCATCGAAAGGAAGGAGGGGATAGGAGGAGGCGACAGAGAAAGAGAAAGGGTACTGGGTAAGAGACACTGGGGCACTGAGACAGACCCAGTTTCCTGGGGTATCTCCTGATAAGATCACTCCTTGCCTGTATGGACAAGTGCAGACTCTGGAGCCAGGCTAACTGAGTCTGAGTCCTGGTTCTGCCCTTAAAGGCTGTGTGAGCTTAGACAAGTCATTTAACTTCCCTGCAACTGTGCTTTCTCATCAGTGAAATGTGGGTAATAATAGTGTCTATGTCTTAGACAGTCATGAGGATTAAATACCTAAGCACACATCAAGTACTTAACAGTGCCTGGCACAGAGGTATTGGATATCTCTCAAGAATTATTATTTTGGGGGCTCCTGGTTGGCTCAGTCGATTAAGCATCTGCCTTTGGCTCAGGTCATGATCCCAGGGTCCTGGGATCGAGTCCTGCATCGGGGGGTCTGCTCAGCAGGGAGCCTGCTTCTCCCTCTCCCTCTGCCACTACCCCCTGCTTGTACACTGTTTCTCTCAAATAAATAAATAAATAAAATCCTTAAAAAGAGAATTATTATTTTTATCATTGTTATGATGAGAGAGAACTAGAAACTAATGGTAGACATCACAGATGGTAGAACGAGCTCAGACTCAGGTGGTGTTCATAAGTATTTTTGGAGTTCGTGGTAAGGGACACACCCCAAAGGGTAGGGGATGTCTGGCTCTTCTATTGAACCTTGAAGGGAGTTTGCATTGAGAAGCACATCCTAGCAGAGATGAGCTAGGAAGCCCAGGTCAGGTCAAGGTCTGGTTACCAGCTGCAGAATTGGCAGTAATCCTAATAGCAAAGCCAGTCAAAGTCAGTTCTTAAACAAAGAAGTTGCATGATACCAGGGGAAGAGCTTCATAGAGACGAAGTAAATGGCAGTGTTTGGACAAAGCGGTCCATGTGAATGGTGCCCCCAGAACAGTGTGATGCTTGGTCCCAGAATAGCACTTAACTATGTTACCAGAATATTCTCAGTGCTTTACATTTGTTAATCATTTGATCTTTCTGACAACCTCGTGAGGTAGCCTATTTTTATCCCTACATTATAGAGGAGTGCTGCAGCACAGAGAGGTTAAATAACTTGCCCCAGGTCACACAGCCATTTTATAGCAGAGCTAGGATTTGAACAATGCCTGCAGAGTCCTTGCTCTTAACTATTATCCTATATGATACAATTCAACTTTATTAGAGACTAACTATGTGTCACATGACAGTTCATTTAATTCTCATAAACGTTCTATGGGGCCACTAATATTATTCTATTTTACTGAAAAGAGAACTGAGGCTCAGAGAGAAGTTCCTGAAGGTCACATAGCTTGTACCCAGCCTTGTACTCAGGCAGTCCGACTCTAGAGCTAGCTCTCACAGCCCCTGCCACAGGAAGCAGCAATAGAACCATCCAGGAGAAAAAGGACCAAAGGAGGAGAAAATGATTTCTAAGCATGCACAATCTAAACAGCTAATGCCACAGAAAGATTGGGGTGGGGGCAGGCTGAGTGCTTGTCTAAAAGGTCACTGGAATGACTCAGTCTGAGGCAGAGAGCACAAGTTAAGAACACCATAATTATTTGTATTTCTTGACCTGACTCAAACTGCAGGAACTTGCAGAGACTCAGATATGGTGATCTAGGGCTTGGCTCCTGGGTCTAGAGAGTGATCTCTAAAACGTGAACACCAGTGCACATTATAGAGTACCTGCCATCCACAGGGCACGATGGTGCTCACTGGGATCCGAAGCCCTCAGCTCAGCTCTGACATTTCGGGGCATGTGAGCAGAAAGCCATGGAGAAAAGGCACCTCTAACGCTGACAGTTTCCTAAAACATTCTTTCAGATTCTCCGTGAACATGAACCAGCAGGGAAGGAGCTACTAAGGCAAAAACGAGCAGGTATGTAACCTCTTTGGTTGGCAGTTTCTTCTAGCAAGTCTGATCAAATGACATTTGCTGTAACTTTTCAAAGCCTGCGATCCACGTAATTCAGTCTCCAGGTGCATCAAGGTTTGATTTCTAGAAGTAATTACAAGGGAACTCCATTCCCTACTCTACCTAGTAACATTTGGTGGATCTTAGCAACACATTAGCTCCTCACTTCCCCCCTCACCTCTCTCCACAGATCCCGAAGAGTCTGTTCCCAATGGCTCTCTCCTCAGCTCCCTACTTCCTCGTGGTAATCTTTCGAAAACACCAATCTGATTCCACTGTTTCCTTGCATAAAATCTTTTACGGGCTCCCAGTTGCCTTGAAGAGAAAATCCAATCACCTGCTCGAGTCCTACCAGATGCTGCATGATCTCCCCACTTGTTCTCCTTCTGTTTCCTTTCACATGGTAGCTGCCCCACTCACCACCCCACTTTGTTGTCTGGGGTACTCCAACCTAAGTCTCCATTCACTCGGACTCCTGCCATGTAAGGCTTTCCATTGATGCTCCAGACAGGGAGGGGTTGCTTCTCTGGGTTCCCACTGCCCTTGTTACATTCCCAGAGCATAAGATTTGTCTCAATGCATTATAATTATTTTACTTCCTGTTTGTCATCCCCAGGAGACAGGAGTTCTCTCGAGCCCTCTTCATCCCTGTAGCCTGGCATCGAGCCCAGTTTCTCAGTAAATGAGTGAACAAATAAAGAGAGTGTATGTCCCTGTCACAGCTGCCCCTTTGTGAGTTGAGGATACGTTCCTATCGCGAAAAGTCCTCTGCCTTAGTGTCTGTACCAACTCTGGAGAAGGTAGAACTTCTTAACCTTTAGGGTTATGACTGAATCATGTCCAAGCATGCCGTGGCTTGGTCTGTTCAGTTTTGTGGTCCACAAGGGTCAAGAAGCTGCCAAAGATAGCGGGCTTTCCCTTAGGCCAGCATAAACGTGTCCATCCATTAGAGCCTTCCAGAAGGGCAACCAGCTCCAACTTTGCCCATTGCTTGAAATGACAATTTGATCATATTTTATTGAGGTCTCAAAATGTTCATTGGAAGGTCGTACTTTCATTTTTTTCTTCTTTTGCCTTTCTTTTCTTTCTTTTCTGCTTTAGCTTTGTTTTATATCCTTACAGACCCTCGCTCTCCCACTCCCCTCCTTCCCTGAAGCGATCTGAAGCACACAGACAGCACTTTCCGTGCTTTTAAACAAGCATCAGGACATCGACTCCAGTCCCTGAGTCCTCTTGCAGGCTGTGATAGGAACAGAGCTGGAGATGTCCCTGTTCGGTATTCTGAAAGACTTTTCTTTTTAAAATCAGACTATTTGTGGGTGAGTTCTAGCTCCAGGCTTCTGCCAGGCTCTTGCTGGCCTCAGACTTCCAGCTTCCTCGGGGACAGTTGGTGACTGTAGAGTTATAAAAGGAACGTCTTCCTGTCCTTCCGGGCCCGGCTGCTTATGACCCGTGGTGACATTGTTAGAGGTTAGCCTTTGGGAAGGAAACCACTTCTACATCTAAGGATTTGACGCTCCAAAATTTTCCAGATGTGCTTTCATTAAAAACAATCATAATGATGATAAATTACCATAAAAACCTGTTTTCCATTTATTATACACAGTCCTCTGTGCTCTTGGCCTCTGGAGTCATTTTGGAAGTGTTAATCACTCAAGCCATCATCTTCAGAAGATGGATTGGCTTTGGTACTTTTACAAAATCACCAAAGAAATGGCCATGGAAAGAGCCAGGCGCTAGACCACACAGAGCTGGGATGTGAGTTGCAATAGACAGCGCTGCTCTCCAGGAAAGCCGTGAAAGAAACCAACAGAAGAGTTACATTCAGCGGATGTCTTACAGAGGTGTCTGTGTTCTGCTCACTGTATTAGTTAAGTGAGGCGATAGGATTAAGCTTTGATTTTCAGGGTGATATCTCCTTTCATATATATATTCATCCCCTCCTTCTGGGGACTTAATGCCAGAAAGGGACAAAGTTTCCAAGAGAAAGAGGATTCTCAAAAGGAATGTCCTTTTGAGGCACTGGATCAGATCTTTAGGGTTTGGGATCGAATCACCTTTAAAAGTAGGGTCAACACTCATTTATGCTCAGAGCACTTATGGACTTCTTCCTAAGTTACTTTGGTCAGCTATATAGCTTCACTGGGCCCTTGGTACACACACACGTACATATATGTATATTATACATATATCACATACATATCACACGCACAGACACAGACATACATATGCATACAAATATATATATGAGTTATTACTTTACAAGGTTGTTAAGATTAAATAACATTATGTATATATTATTTAATTGTTATTAGGGTTATCTAGAGGTTTATTTGATTTTGGGTTGTTTTTTTTTTTAATTAGAAACACAGATTTATTTATAAAAATAACATTGCATTTGAAAGAGCCTGAAATATTCCGGGTACAGAGAAAGTCCCATATAACCACTGAAGGCAGGAGGAGGAATGCCATAAGATGCAAGTTAGTGTTTTTGGAAAACTATTTCAGAATTCTATTGGGGAAGAGAAGTCTGCACAAAAACCCAGAAGCCAGAGGCCAGAATCAGGGTGGATCTGCCAGTTAGAGCAGAGAGGCTTCTGGGGAGCAGAGGGAAATAAGAATGGGACAGAGCATCCAGTTATGTCCCGATTACACTAGGAGGTGGATTCTCGATCATCTGAAAGGCTGGCACAGAGGAGGAACTGATGGAAACCGTCTGAAGTGGCCGAGTGAAGAAGTCAGCGCTCGGGAGTCCAGCGAGGAGGCTCAGCAGTGTGGACCATCACTGGCCCTGGCCCCTCGAGGGAAATAGGAAAGGAGAAAGGGGAACGCTTGTGAAAGATACTACGAGAAGTGGATCAAAAGGACTTGGAGACAGCTTTGACGTGGGGTGAAGGGTAGCAGTGATCCTTGTGACACTCTGTGAGCTCACAGACCTGGGCGTCTGGGGGATGTGGAGACCAGAGGTAGAACCCGGAGTTGGAATGGAAATCTTATCTTGGAGGTTTGCCAATAAACTCCAAATTTAGTCTTAAGGGTAATCTTCCTAGGGGGGTGAGAGCAGAAGTTTCTTATTGGTTAGCAGTAACTCAAATGTGTTCTCTAGGTCACTTTGTGAAGTTGTCCATGCCAGGTTTCCGAGCTTCGTTGGGAATGTTCTTGGGCCCTGGGCGGAAGTCCTCATGGGTTCTTCTTTGGCTTCAAAAGGAATGGCTGATAGCAGACATATTTTCGAGAAAGGGAGATCCGGGTGTCCTATCCTTGTGCTGGAGGCGCTTAATGTTCATACTTACCTAGTGAGAGAATTGGGTTGTTGGCTGCCAGTGTGGGGATCTCGATCTTTCTGCAGAACTGGCAGCCTCAGCATGTGCTGGCCCTTTTTCATCCAGGTCCAGGAAATGCTGTGCATTTTCCAGGTTGAGGAACAGATTTGGGGGTTTTTGCGGCCTTAATCTTCCTTATGATAGCATGTGGCATTTAGTGTACTAAGCAGGTGGAGATGGTAGCCGAGAAAGATGACAAGGTGCTCTCAGCCTGGTGTCTGGGTTTGGTTTTAGGGTTGACCTTCCGTGTGTTGGGAGTGCTTCTTGCTTTTAATTTCTGATCAGTGTGGTGTGTCTGTTTAACCATCTCAAAGGTGAGACCTGATTGGAATAGCATTAACTTTTCTTGACCTACCAGCAGACATCTGCATGTCATATAACCATCACATTTATCATAATTCATATTCTTATTTCTACCTGCTATTTCAGACTGGTTACTATAAGCTAGACAATTTGCTAGGGGTCTCCACATCAACTTCCTAGCATCAGTTCTGCAAAAAATATATTACCGCTGTTTTACAGATGGCAAAGTGTGGCTCACAAGGTTAAATGGCTTGCCCAGGAAAGAAGGTATTCCACCCCACCTGCACTCTGGCTCCAGAATCCATGCTCGTGATGCAGAGTTCTAGTTTTCAACACGTGTTTCTGGCTCTTGCCCGTGAGATTCCAGTCCGTGATTATTAGAACAGCTTTGTACGGTAAAGAGTAAGGAGCACTGCCTTCATCTTAGCAGGAAAAGAATTTTATATGGGACTGACTTTGATGACTTGGGTATATGACAAACTAGTAGAATTGATTACTTTCTCCAGGCTTTACAGCCCAGTGTTCCATGACACACTGTGCCGCCCATGCTCCCCTCCATTGACACCTGCCAGTGATCCCCAGCCTGGGGTTCTGGTAGTTTTCCCCTTGCCTGAACATGATCCTCTGACTGTCTGCTGACAATGGTACAATAGGATACAGGTGCTGCTGTCAAATTTCTACCTACTAGAACATATTAAGAAACAAGTGGAAGAACAGGCATCTTTTTTTTTTTTTTTTTTTTACACATACAAATGTTTATTAGCAAACAGGAACTAAGACAGTTTTGCAACCTAGAACAGGCATCTTTTAATATTTACCTGCTACAGGACTAAGGGTGAGAACAACAGAGCCAAATCTTCAGTGATAAAGAAGCCTTGTCCCTTTGGGGCAACAGAAAAATCACATCAACCTCATTTGTCTTGCGTGAAGTCAGCAGGCTTCGTTCTTTTGCAGGTGGGAGATTAATTTACACATAGACTTAGGCTCCAACTTCTGAGAAGCCAAAATTCCCATTAGAGTGGCCCGGCAAAAATAAGATTGTTTGCTTAAACAGCTGTGCTTAAGACCCAGAACTACTGGTCTCAGTTTGTGGCCAACTTTCCAGAAATGTCTCTTTAAGATAAGTGCAGTGTGGCGGGCAGCGATTTCTGGGAAAGGAGAGGGGAAATCCTGGCTGGTCTGTGTCTCTGGGCCTGCCTATAGGCTCCGTCCGTGACACGGATGACACCTGGAATGTGCTGGGGGCACCGGTGAGTCAGAAAAGTTCAGGCAAACAACACCAGGCCACAGGAGCCCGAGAAAAAGCAAACACGTTAAACTCTGGAATCAGATGGTCCGGAGGCAGCCGAGGAGGAGCACGGAAGGGCCTCTTGGGGACACATTCACACAGAGGTGCGAAAACCTCCCTCTGTTCCTCCTGAGTCCCTTGTAGCCTGGAGCAAGACCAGGAACATCATTCTCCCCAGCTCTGAAGTCCTCGGATTTGGGAGAGGCCAGGCGAGCAGGATTTGGCATTTTTTATCCCAAACTGTGGGCGGAGTGTGCCTCCGGTCCCATCCACAGGCGGGTCACACTGACACCTGAGCAGCTGAGCTACTTTCCTTAAAGTCAGACCCTCGCCCTGCGGCCGTACAGGGACGGGAGGCCCGGTGGCAGCTCCGTGTGTCTTGCCTTTGGGGCTGAGACACTGGAGACGAGAAGGAATGACCCGGATCGGGAGGGGCATCTTCTTGCCGTTCCTCCGACGAGCTGTGGAAATCCGCTGTCTCAGGGCTTTTGTGCTTATTTTCTCTTCCTGGGGGAGGAGTCCCCGAATATCCACAGGGCAACTCCTCATTTCATTTGCATCTTTGCTCAGCTTTTACTGCTTTAGAAAGGTCTTGTCTAACCATTCTACAAAAAAATCCCTCAACATGCCTGCAGCTCTGTTTTCTTACCCTGCTTTATTGTCTCCATGCCCTTCAGAACTGCCCGACACTGAAGTTTCAACTTACTTTTACCTCCCGCATGAAGATGGACGATCCATGGAAGTAGAGCTTTGCCTCTTTTATTTACCCCATGTCCCCAGCACCTGGCACAGTGCCTCAATAAACAGTAAAGTTACTGTGAATCAATAAATCAATAAATGAAAGCACAAGTGAATCAACCTAGCAAGACAATGTCAAAATCCATGAGCGCCATGGATTTTCTTCTCTAGTGGAGGTCCCACACCCATACCGGTCTCTAGGGAGAAGTGCCGTTCAGGTGGAAGGTTGTTCTGAAACTTCTTTAGAAGTTGAAAAACATAAAAGGTAGATGAGGGGAAGAGGTTCTTGGAGGCTGGTACTTTCATTACAGTTGCACAAATCCCCTAGAAGAGAATTTGTTAAAGTCACAGGAAGTGATGTTACGTATGTTAAGCTTTTGGCTCAGCTCCTTGTAAGGTCTCACCGGAAGGACCGCCTTGGTTTCAGTGGGGAATGAGGACATCGGTGAATCACCATGTGCTTCCCAGGCACATGTTTGTCCTGCAGTTATGTCTGAAAAGAACACAGAGAAGTGGGCTCAGAGATGAGCAGTAGGAATGGCACTCAGGCAGGGGCGGATGCCATGCTGGGGTCAGAACCTGGGATGCAACAGCGCAGATGATGAAGTGGGGGACGTGGGATTGTTATTGACTTCACTCTTCTAAAAAGCCCTACCGTCTAGGATATCCTGTTTACATTCATGGGAGGACATAGACTGCCTACGGCAAAGAGAATCTTGGAGCTGAATCCACTGGAGGGTACAAGCATGGCTGCATTAATTTTCAGGAAAAAGAATGCGCTCCAAGGCAGACATTCCTTGTAAATATCATGCAGCCACCGTCCTCACAGATATTCCCAGCAGGCCCCATACCGTGTCTAGGGTTAGGATCACATAAATGAAGATTAACAGTTCTTCCAGGAAGCTTGTTTTCATCACAGAATCATTGGAGAATCAGAAAGAAAACAGGAAATTTGAGGCATTGCCATGGTATCATGACAGACTGTGCTTCTGCACCGGGTTTTAAAAGTCACTTTGTTCTACTTGTAATTACATTTTTATAAGCAGGAAATATACCTTAAGATATATTCTTAATTTTAAGAAAATTGGCAAAGACTTTCTTTTCACAGTTTGAGTTAATTGCAGCAAGTTGAATGATGCATGTCAGAATGAAATAATTCTCAGAAAGATTGATGAATAAAACCAACCTTCTAAGACATAGTTTATCACTATAAGTAAACAGATATTACAGCTTTCTACAACAAAAATTTATTCATTGGCATTTCCCATCACAAACTTACTCTATTTTAGTGCTTCTCATCAATATTCCTTGGGAAATTTTAAACAAATCTGGCAATATTGTGGGAAAATTCTTTGCCCTTTTAGAAAACAGACCTAGAATTTTAATTTATGGCAAAATATACATCATACTTCCAGATTTGACTTAAATTTTAAAATAATAGTTTTGTAAGTATTCACTAACCTTTTCCTTATTTGACTGACAAGATAGAATAAGCCACAACTTGTCTTCTCAATTCATCTGTGTAAAAAATTCTCCTAGTCTTTGAAGGTTCATCATGAGCTATGAAACTAGCCCTTGGCTTCTGCTCCTGTTATGTATTTCAGCCAAGAATGAGCCAAAGATTCTGGCAGTGACAGAAAGGTGAATGTGTAGCCCCCTCAGGAGGGTCACAATTTCAAAAAGAACTGACTGGGCACACATTTATTATGTGGTGAGCTCCATGCCAGATGGAGTAAAGCCATGAGAACTGAAAGAAATAGTTCCTGCCCTTGAGAAGCTTGCAACTAGTGAACCAGACATGATGTAATACAGAAAACTATGAAAGAATATTCTGGTATATACTGTATATTGTCTGGCTTGCCTGTGGTGGGTATGTGTTGGACATCAAATGCATCTAGGATGCCAGACAGTCAGTCAGCCTGGAGACAATTTGGAAAGGCAATGAAGAGCTGGAGATTTGTGAATTTTGCTTTCATTGAGTACCTATCATGTTCTGGACACCAGAGATACACAGTAAGAACTAAGAGCCCTTGCTGTGTGCGTAGGCGAAGAGCAAAAGGGAATTAACTGGATGACTTTTCCCGGAGGTCTTCAAGCCATGCATAGTACAGATCTCAAAATGCACGCATGTCAAGTGAATGGTGTTGGAAACACACTGACTCATTCCTCTGAGTCAGGACCATGGCTTTATTGTTTAGACTGTTGCCAAGGTCCCCCTGCTAGGTCTCCCTGCTTCTATTCTTGCCCCTTCCGGTCCAGTTTCAACACAGCAATCCTTGACCTTGGACACCAAGGAGGGTGAGAGAACGGAGAGGAAGGACAAGTCTTGAACTTAGCCTGTGAATCTCTCAAATGGCCAGAGACCACTACACTGAGACCAGACAAATCGGTTGCCTTCCTCCATTAAATGGTAAAGTTATGGGGCACCTGGGTGGCGCAGTTGGTTAAGCATCCAACTCTTAGTCTCGGCTCAGATCCTGAGATCAGGGTCCTGAGATCAGGGTCATGAGATCGAGCCCCGTATCGGGCTCTGCACTCAACTCAGAGTCTGTTTAAGATTCTCTCTCTCTCTCTCTCCCTTTCTCTATGCCCCTCACCCCCACTTTCTCTCTCTCTCTCTCTCAAATAAATAAATAAATCTTTAAAAGTAAATAAATAAATAAATAAATAAATAAATAAATAAATAAATAGTAAAGTCATAGAGAGGGAACACCATGAAGGGGATGTTTGGTGGTATAAACTGACAAGCTTCTTTTTCTCTAAAAAGGTTCATTAGAAATCCCTTAAGGTTGACATGTCCAGCATTCACATAGTCCTGTTACTGCCTTTAAATGTTGAACTGTCTGCGATGGTCCCTCTCTGCCACCCACAGTGAGTTCTCACAGCTTCCTGTGCTTTCCTTTCAGTAGCCTCGAGTAGCCCAGCAGCTGAAGAGTACATCGTTGATGTGGAGATCAGTTTTGAAAATGCCTCCTTCCTGGAGCCTATCAAAGCTTACTTGCACAGCCTCAGTTTCCCAATTCAAGGGAATAGCACTGACCAAGCCACCAACATTTTAAACATTGAGGTGACAACAGGTGAGTCAAAGACCCATTGCTTCAGAACAGAGGGTGGGGTATATCAGGAGAAAGGCTGTCTGCACTCCTTACTATTAGAGCAGATTGTACTTAGTCGGCAAGTGAAATGACCCAAAAAGGCCTGAGGTATGATTTTATGACTTCACAGCATTCCAGAATGAAGCCCCTATTGGCAAACTCTGCAGCCAGTTTCCTTATTTCAAATGGTGGCCAAATGTTTGCTTGGTGGTTTGTGTATTGGTTGTCACAAAATATGTCCCAAGATACTGCCAGGTCCTTCATGACCAACTATGGGGTTCCATTCCTCTGGGTAATCAGTGGGTACAGCAAGGACTGGTTCAGGTATTAATAAGTGGCAAGTTCCCTTCATTCTGGCATCATAGGTCAAGAAATAGGAACCAGGTACATGCCTGGATTGGAAGCAAGACATAATATAGAAACCCCCAGGCTATGGGATTGGACTTCCTGGTCACTGCCTCCCTTTTGAGGTTATGCTAGGTGTCCTACTTCTCAGACACCATCACCTGGAAAGCTATAATAGGGGACTTCCCCCTTGTCCTAAACAAAGTTATTGTCTTGCAGGCACTAACAGATGTTGGATTTTATGATTCTAAAATGGAGGCAAGCATAAAATTCTTGTTTTTCAAAAATTTTTTTGAATTCTCAAATTTCAAATAGTCATCAATATCATCTATGCATTCCAATTTTTTATTCTTTTTTTTTTTTTGATTTTTTTTTATTCTTATGTTAATCCCCATACATTACATCATTAGTTCTAGATGAAGTGTTCCATGATTCATTGTTTGTGCATAACACCCAGTGCTCCATG